TGGAGGACTCCTCCAAATTACATTGGAACCTAGGTTCCGTACACCCAACTAGCAAGCATATGGGCAACTGAATTTATCTCTCTAGGGATATGACTTACGTACACTACCCAGTCCCGAGCTAACATTAGCTTAACACGACGAATGATATCATAGTGTTTATGCAGGTATATATCAAACAAAGCGATATATCACAACGTTTGAAAGTCTTTAGTGAATTGATACTGTACATATTCAAACTACTAATATGCTCTCATATGAAATTAATTTAGTGAATTTGAGTATTAGGGGTGTATTAGATTGGAATTTTAAAATATTTTTAAAAAAATTATTATAAAAAAGTTTTGTAATATTTTATTAATATTTTTTTGTTTAAAAAAATCATGTGATATTTAATTAAGATAATTAAGATTTTTTAAGATAATTTCAAATTTTGGTGATGTTTAATTAAGACAATTATAATTTTTTAGGAATATATATTTGTCAAAATCATGATATTTAATTACTTTTTATTTAAAAAAAGTCTGCTGAGATTAAAAAAATATAAATTTTAACAAATTATTATGAATGATAAATTTTATGAGACTTTTTAGTAGAATTTACATATAATTCACTCATCTAACAATCCCACAAAAATCTTTGAGTTTTTGACATGACCTTTTTTCTCTCAATTTTTGTTCCCTCATCTTTTTTCTTCTCTTTAATTTTTTCCTCCTTGGCTCTCTCTAATCTTTTATTTTCTCTCTTTCTCCTCTCTCTCTTTTCCTTATCTCATCTTTTTTTTCCCCTCATCTCTCTCTTCTCAATCTCATTTTCTTTCTCTTTTTGTTCATCTCTCTCATTTATCTTCTTTCTCTCTTTATTTTTTCTCCTATCTTTTTTTTTAATCTATTAATACTTTTTTATTACATTTTTATTTATCAATATTGATGTATACTTTTTCAACCAGATAATTATGAAACCTCCTACCAACCTTCACCACCTTAGGGATGTAGTCGATTGTCTAATCTTCTTTAAAGTTTGAAGGTTCCCATTGAAAAATCAAGCCATCAGAAGATAAATAAATTCAAGTGTAGAGGGAGTTCTAATTCAATTGGTACCAACAATTATGCCAAAGTTCTAGATACTCTTTCTATTGGCATTGGGACTATTATTGTCAATTTTGAAACAATATCTAATATATTGGAGAAAAGATAAGAAGGCAGAGAAAGAGAAAGATAATAATATTTGGGATGCTATAAAAGAGATCCCAAACTTGGATGACAAAACTCTTTTTATAACTACTGATTTGGTTGATACTAAAGCAAAGAATTTCACTTTCTTTAAGATGTCATAAGAAAAACATTTATTTTGGATAAATTTAAGCTGAGATGATTAATACTTTGTTAAATTAATTTTTTTAAATGTCATTTTGATTGTATTTTTGTTGAAGTGTTTAATTTATATTTTGATGGAGCCATAATGGTTGAACTTTAATAATATATAAAAGAAATTTTGATTGTATCAAAACTATTGGTGGTACTCATATTTTGGCAAGGATTAGAGGGTAAGATGTAAGTAACTATGGTAATCATCACGAAAGATATCTATTAACAACTTATAACTTTAATTTTAAATTCATCTATGTTCTTAATGGGTGGGAGAGTTCGGCTCATGATTTCAGGTTATTAAGTGATGCTTTGATAAGGAGAAATGGACTTAAAGTGACTTATGGTAAATATTTTTATAATAATAAATTTTTTTAATTTCATACTAATTTTTATATGTGTTGTATATGTAATTAGGTAAATATTTTTTAGTGAATTGTGGGTTTTCTAATAAACGCCAATTTTTAGTTCTATTTTAAGGTGTGTAATATCATCCCCAAGATTTTGTAGGTCATGGTAATGACCCGCAAAATGAAAATGAAGTGATCATGCGTCCTTAAGAAATCTGATTGAGAGGATATTTGATATTTTTAAATCAGGTTTTACAATTTTTAAGTTAGCTCCTCCATTTCTATTTAAAACATAAACTGAACTTGTACTAGTATGTATATTACTGCATAATTTTCTTCGCAAAAAATGTCATTTTAATGAATTTTCAATTAAATCAGTGGATGAATCTTTATCTTCAGTGCTACTAGTTAATGAATATCATAATTTTAAATATATTGTTCAGACTCGAGCATAAAATAGAATATATCAATGTATGTAGAAGGTTAGTATAACTTTAGATATGTGGAGAAGTATTAGTTAAGAGAATATTTAAATCAATTATTTGTCAAAAGATATAGACAACTATTTATCAAAAGATAGAGACAACTATTTGTCAAAAGATAGAAAAAATTGTGTTGATTTTACTTTTCTTTATTATTTATGTTATATTTTTTTGTTAATTTTTTATAACATTAAATATGTTTTACTAATCTATATTTTCTTGTGAAATCCATAAAACCCGTTAAAATCCAAACTATCAAAATCCAATCATAAAGTCTTAATTAAAATTCATATTTTAAAAGTTTTTACTAAAAAATCTTAAAAATTATTATATTCTTTCAAAATCTTTTAAAATTTTAAAATTTATAAAAAAAAATCACTAAAATAGTCTTTTGAAATTCTAACCCAACCCATTAATTTAGGTAAGATATAGATAAAGATAATTTTGTTTTTTATTACCCTTTCTAATTAACCAATAAAATGATGATAACAAAATATATAATTGAGAGAAAATTTTCATATTCGAATAATTTTGCATGATGAGATATAAAGTCATATTCTTAACCCATATTCCTAATAATAACATCCCATGACAATCAAATAAAATCATTGGGGTATTTTATCGTTAAAATAATTTTATATCTTGAGTTTGTTATATATGAAAAAAATACACTCTCTTTTGAATTGGAATATAAGTACTTTTAATGTTGAATATTAAACATACACAACATCCATGAATACACATAATTGACTTTTGAATCAATTGTAAAGAAAACATTCATGGTTCATGCTATTTGTGATTTGCAAATTAGGAATTAAGAAGAAAAAAAATCAAAGAACTCAACAAATTAAACTATTAAAGGAATTCAGGGTACAGGAATAGGGGTGTGGAGTAACAGTGTACGTTAAACACAACGGCATCAACCTACCAAAATGGGTCCTATAAAGCCCATGTCTGACGGACTGATAAAGTAATTGAGAATTTCTAAAAAGTCATGAATTAATTGAGAGAGGATATTATACATATGAGAAAACATGTTTTTTTTTTTTTTTTTTTTTTAACTAAAAGGGAGTAGTTTATTTTCAAAATTACCAAAATTAGTATCCTTTGTAAAATTTTTTTTACTAAAATGGTGTGTAAGTTGATTTTGGTTCCGTGAAAGAATTTTCTGGCCGTTTTGTATATCGCTAGAAATTGTGACAATGTGTCACCACACAAGAGTAAAATCAGAAAACTAAAGCACAACTGACTTTCAAAAGTTCGAATTACATCATTTTAATAACTTTTTTTTTAAGAAGTATACTTGTTTGATAAATTTGAAAACAAAATACCTCATTTCAGTAAAAAAAAAAAAAAAAAAACTGAAAATGCAATGATGGTATTTTTTATTTTTTATTGTCTATTAAAGGGAGATATAACTTATTTCCAGGAGTCTACCTATATAAGAGTAAAGTAACACTACATGCTTAAATTAGGAATCAAATTTGACTTTTAATTAAGAAATACATTGAACTATTACTTTTGAATTTACATGCTCGGGAAGGAGAACTGGAATTGGCGCACAAGGCACAACAGTCAAAATCAAATGGCGTAACTTTTCTATATTTCATTAACTTTGTATGGTTTAAATAAAGGCCAAGTTTCAGCTTTACTTTTCCAGTTGCAGAATCCACATTATGAGAAATAAGGAAAAAAAAACACAAATATAATGAATGATCTATGATGTGATAAGAAGGACACGAATAAAGAAATGTAAGAGCACTTGCATTCGAGTTGTTCTTAAAAAAACACCTTGTTTTAACTAGATTTTTTTTTAAACTCAAGGGAATGAAATCTAATATTAAAAAATATCGATCAACTAAGCTATCTCATTGATATATATCGTTGTTGGTTTTTTTTTTCCCCTCTAATATGAAGAATAACAAAATATGAAAATGTGCGTGGAGTAACTTAATTAATTATTATAGGATCCATTCAAGAAACATTTTACAATAGTTAGGTTTGAGTAAAAGATAACTGAGCCATTTAAAGTAATACGAATATGATTTAATATTATAGAAAATGTGAAAAATCATAAAAATAGTATTTAACAACTTTTTTTTTTTTATTACAAAAGTATTTAACAGTATAGTTACTTGATTAATTAGATGGCTTGGGATAAATTAAAAAATTGAAAAAAGTTTGTATATGACAAAAAATAATTAGATATTGTTCGAATAACTTTTCAATAAGTAGTTGTCAAATAATAAAAGAAAATAACCTAAATTATAGTTAAAATTAGCTTATTTTTAAATTAAATAAGTTTTAATTTTAGAGAAGTTAAATGAGACTACTTTTATAAAAGTTGAATTATATTAGTTGATTTTTTTAACTTATAATTTTTTTAATTCATTTTATTACTTTCTTAGTTTTTTTATTAGTAAATATTTATCAAGGATTTTGTCTAAACAAAACCTAACTAAAAGATAT